ATGTGATAGCATATAGGGCATGGCAGGATTTCCTTATGGAGATATCAGAAGTCCACTAGACACCTAATGACACTTCTGCACATAGCCCAAGCAGATCATGAACTTTTGCTAAAACATAGAACAGTAAATAAAGTTGTGTTGTTACCAACTCGTTTGGCTCTGTTGCTACAACATTACTATTGTTATTTAGCTTGAAACCAGGCAGCAATGCCTGAAACGGCTACATTCTAAATTTGAGCAATAAAGCAGTTCCTTGTGCTAGAACACCCGTTAGTAGAGTGCCGAGATGGGAAATCACCTGGTTGTTCAGCATACATTACCTAGTCTATCTCATTTTCTGCCTGACTTAAAATATATTACACATAGCTGCATGCCTTTGGTACATCAGAGTAAAGCAACAAGTGTGAAAAGGGATGATTTTTTTGCTTATTCTACAAAGATATTCTAAAATGGTCTGGACAGATTTGTTGGTACCTCTAGAAAAGATTATAAATAACTGGATCATAGTGATATTTCAGTTTGTTGTAAATAGTATTACATGTGTCTTCAGTCTTGTAATCTGTCAATCAGCGCATTGAAATGGAGAAAAGTAGTCACCCTGCTTTTTGGTATCTTCATGAGCACAACACTGAACATGGACCACAAAATCAAATGTGAAAGTTGTCTGAGGAAATCAGAGAGAAAATGATAGACCAGCATGTGGAAAGTAAAGGTTCTAAGACTATCTCCAAAGTGCTTGATGTTCCTCTGATTACAGCTGCAAACATTAAGAAGTTTAAGGTCCATGAGAGTGTGGCCAACCTCTCTGGATGTGGCCACAAGAGGAAAATCAACCCCAGTATGAACATAAGAATAGTAGACAGAAAAGCTTCTAAGGATATACAAGCTAAAGGTCCATCAGCATCAGACTGCACCATCCCTCACTTTCTGAGCAGCAGTGTGCTCAAAGAAAGAACATTTATGAGGACACCACTGTTGAAAGAAAAACAAAAAGGACCAAACTGGAATTTGCTAAAATGCATATTGACAAGCCACAATGCCACTGGGAGAATTTCTTTAAGACAGATGAGATGAAACTGGAACTTTCTGGCAAGTTTCATCAGCTCTAGGTTTACGAAATATAAAAATAAAGCTTTCAAAGAAAAGGAACACAGTACCTACATGGAGAAGGCTTGGTTATTTTTGCGGGTGCTTTGCTGCATCTGGAATAGGGTGACTTGTGCAGGGCACAATGAAATCTCTGTAGTAAAACTTACTGCCCAGTGTGAGACAGCTCTGCCTCAGTCACAGGTCATTAGTCCTCCAACAGGATAATGACCCGAAACAGACAGCTAAAAGTACCCAAGAATGGCTAAGAACACTGTTCTGAAGTGGCCTTCTAGGAGTCCTGATCACAATCTTATCGAACATCTATGGAAAGTGCTGAAACATGCAGGCTGGAGAAGGCGCCCTTCAAACCTGAGAGAGCTAGAGTAGTTTGCTCAAGAAGAGTGGACCAAACTATTCGTTGGAAGGTGCAGAAGTTTCATTGAGAAATCTCTTGTTTATAGTGATTGCCTCTAAAGGTTGTGCAACAAAATATTAGGTTAGGCTTCTCATCAATTTATCCGTGCCATTTTTATTTCATTTATTATTTAAAATCTATTGAATCAAAAATTAAAGTATACTTTTTTTTTTATTGAAGAAAAAAAACCCAATGATGGATACCAATTATTTTTGTCATTTCAAGATATTTCAGAGAAAAGTTTGAAGGCTTTTTGTGGAAAGGTAAACAATATAAGAAAATGGAAGCGAACGGCATTTGGAAACTTCAGTTGTCGATTAGTTACCTGGCTGCCGCTGGCTTCAATACTTTACCTGGAGCAAGCATGAAGATCAAGAGAGTATCTTCATACTTGTTCAGCAATTTAAAAAGGTAGTGAAGCCATCGGATCAGCATTTTAAGGGGTAGGTGGTCAATGGCTTCTTCCACAATTCTCAGATTTATTTTACTGGCCTATTTGTAGACTGCCATCAATGACCTGCCTTCTGAAAATGCTAACTGACTGTCTGCCATGCTGAGCCTCATACTTCCCAAAAATATTTGACCAAGAAGTAGTATGATAGTACTAAGTAGCTAAGCCCATAAAGGTGAAACATGTTGGAGGTGGGCGGCCACAGGGTGGCAAATACTGTCATGTTGGAAGTTGTAAGCTCTATGGAATAAAACTTCATACTGGTGGGGCGGCCACTGGGTGGTGGGTACCGTCATGCTGGAAGGTGTAAGGATTAAAAAGGCTTGTTTACACTAGAGCTGCAACCAACAAACTGATAGAGAATAGTTGTCAACTATTCTCATAATAGATTAGTTGGCTGGAGCCCCTTGCTCTCTCCTCCACGCTGGGAAAAGGGCACAGCACGCAGTGGGCGGGTGCAATATCCAGCCTGCTATTGCAATTTGAAATGGCCAATAGCAGTCTGGCTATTGCACCCTCCCACTACCTGCTGTATTTACATAGCATCACAAACGCGCCTCCCAACCAGTGTGATAGCCCGTACTGGAACGTATGGCACCACAATGCCATGCGTTCCAGTGCAATTGCAAAAAATTGTGCATGCAGTTTTATTCTGAAGTAAACTTTGTTTGTAACACTGCATTTGTGTATTTTACATTATGGATGGTATTTAACTATTTTTATCCGATTAATTGAAAAAAATAATCATAGCTGCATCCCCAGTTCACACCATGTCCAGACCAGGACATTTTTGTCTGCACCTGAAATGCATTCGAATGTATTCCTGGGCTACGGTCACACCACAGCAGTCTGTTCCGATGCAGGG